GCAAACAAAAGCACACTAATTATAATCAGATAGTAATAATTAATCAGTCGATAACTTCACACTATAATATTTACACTATAATAGAAACATTTTGAAACATATTTGTATTTTAGCCACACACAGACATTGAAATCAGCTGCAGTTATTCTCCCTGTGTGCTCCTACAGTCAGGAAGCATGTTGATCATTAAAGGTGGGACTTTTTACAAGGTTGCTCCTTACCAGGCATAAAACACCAGAGATCTGCCGCCTCATATTTCACCTCACACTGAAACTCCAGCCTTCAGAAAGCTCTCCACTGGCTGTGATTTGTGTCCTTCTGGCCTGTCGTTCGTTTGATTTTTGCTTTTTCATGCATGTTTGTTCCCAAATTACACAGCAGGCCGTCCATAAATATAACCTGAGCGAATAAAACATGTCAGAGCAGCCAGATAAATATGGGCTGCTGTTTGTAAAGCTATACAGTAGAAAATGAACAGCTACAGTTTTGGTTTTATTTAGCAAGTCATAGGGAAAAAATGTGGGCATTCATTTTTCAAAGTTATATTTCACCATTTTATTCAAACATTTATAAATGTCAGCATGTCAGACTCAAAATTTAATTCATAAGCTAAACTTAAATATTTAGTTAGCAAAATAAATAATTAGCCTGAAAACTGAATATCTAGCTTTCAAATTACATATTTAGACAAAACATTTAGATTGGTGATTAAATAATTAGTTTAGAACTAAATATTTAGCTAGCAAAATAATTAGCTTGAAAACTGAATACCTAGCTTTCAAATCAAATATTTGGTAAGGAAGCTAAATATTGAATTTGCAAACTAAATATTTAAGTCTGAACTAAATATTTAGTTAAAAAACTAAATGTTTCCAAATTAAATATTTTATTCACAAGCTAGATATTTAGATGTCAACTAAATATTTACGTTTCAAACTAACTTTTGGTTTAAAATTAAATATTTATTTTCTAACTTAATAATGAGTAGCTAGTTTGGTTTCTAAACTGGCTACTCATTTTTGAAACTAAATATCTAGCTTAGTCACTAAATATTTAATTTGAAAGCTAAATATATAGTTTGTAAAATAAATATTTAGCTTGTGAATTAAATATTGACTGACATTTTTAAATGTATGAACAATGTGATGAAAATAAGTTATTTTTTTCCTTTGACAGGCTAAATAAACCAAAATATTGCTGTAATGTTTTACAGTGTACCGCGCTGATTCTCCCTCCCAGTGTGGATCTTCAGAAAAACTTCTTCTTTAAAGATAAACAAGGTTAACAACAAGCAGTGATGAAACCCGGCGCTGGCTCTGGACGCCGCAGAGACAAGAGATTCTGGCTTCAACTGGACCGTTGCTTCGGGTTGCATCAGAACGTGACTCTTTGATGGTTTGACTGTTGTATTATTTAAACTGATGAAAGGGGGAAAAGGGCACAAACATTATGAATGGAGATCCATTAAATAGAGTCAACATCTAAAGATGGAGCAGCTTCCCCTCCTAGAGGAGCAGAAGAGTTTCTGAAGCTTCAGAGACAAACTGGTTGGTAGAAGATCAGAGTTTTCTGAGTCTGAGGATGAAAAAAAGAAACAAGCATTAAAAGCAAATTCATGTCCTGCTGAAACAACCTTGGAGGAAAAGATCTCTTCATGTCCGAGACTCTGGTTTCTGAAGAGTTCATGTGAAAGGTTACATCCAGTATCGCCCCATCCAGAGATTAATCTAATGATTATTCATTTATTTTCTTGGAAATGCAGAAATTTAACCTGTTTTTGCTGCTTTCAATTATGAAAGCTGGTCGTTTGTCAAGCTAGTTGCAGCTTCTGCACTGACAAACTAATAAAATAAAAGATGTGATTAGTTTTGCTTCAAAGTTGATCAAATGAGCACAGCTGATAAAATGTCAACTCATTTTATCTTCAAAGATTTAATTTTCCGTTTGATTTAAAAACCAAACGGGGAAGTTTGAGCAGTTTGCTTCTTTTAAAACATTTACAGTAAATTTAATTTAAATTTAATCAATTGCTCCATATTTTCTTGTTTATATCAACCATAAAACTCAGACAGCAAATAAAGGTTGGAAAACAAAACAAGTTTGTGAGGCAGATACAGAAAATTAAGTCAGACCTCAAACCTTGTAGCTGCTCACATGGAGACTGAAATATTTTGTAATCATAAAATATAAAATATTATAATCATACATAATATTCTATATAATATGGATGGATAATTAGTCAAAAAAATCTATGTAAAGTCAAAATTCTCAGGAAAAAACAGATTTCTGCACTGAGTTTAATGTCAGAATTCTTAGTTCAGATTTAGATGATTTTTTTTTTGCTTAATTAACATTACAAACGATAAAACAAAATAAAATGCTATTTTGTAAGCCAATAATTTACCAAAAAACTGTACGCTGAAGCGATGGCTTATGCTTGCCTACCCTATATCAGTTTAAAGTTTATAACTCTGAGAAATAATAGGCAAAATTCTGAGTTTAAAATCAAAATGGTGAGGAGAAAAAAGTCAGAATTTTGTAATAAAGGTCAGAATTCTGAAACTCAGTGTTGATGGCTCTAATCCTCTTGTATGACTGAGTGGCTTCTTGATGTTTATACCTGAGGGATAGTTTGATTTGGAGCAGCCCCCTCCAGCATGGCGCAGCTCGTCTTCAGGTGAGTCTGGCTGTGGCTGCCGGTGAGGCCTGACATTTCAGGCGGACATCAGCCACCTGATGGCGGTAAAGCTCCCTCGGCGCTCCGCCTTTCACGGCAAAGCGCAGCGAGCGGTGGAAGCTGCAACAGCTGGTGGACAGAAATTACATTGATCCTTTCCAACCCCAGAGGGAAGAGACTGCTGGAGGATGTGCTGAGTTCAGGGCAGGAGCAAACAGAAAAAAAAAAAACGTTCAATGACAGACACTGATCTCCTGCTCTTTGGGAGAAGTTCACTTTTACAGTAAAGAAATGTTTCAGCGGCGGGCAAATAGAGGTTTTACTGACACCTGGTGGCTAATTTGTCACACTACAACCTGGAAAATCATCCATCCATCCATCCATCCATCCATCCATCCATCCATCCATCCATCCATCCATCCATCCATCCATCCATCCATCCATCCATCCATCCATCCTTGGAGAGGTTACTTTCTGCTTAGGTCTCCAGTTTATCATTAACAAAATGAAAACAAAATAAAATTTGCTGGTTTCTCTTTTTCTTTGAAACCATGTTTATCTTCCAGTTGGATATTTAATGTTTTTTTACAAGTAGAACATAAAAATAGAGTAGTTAATAAAAAACATCAACACCTCAATAACCTTTTCAGAAAACAGTTTTACATTTACTATTTCAGTGTGAAAATTTCCACAAGTTTCCAGAACAAAAACAGAAGAAAATTCCTCAACTTCTTCATGCTGAATTCACTCAGCTGTAAAATGTAAAACTCGCCTCCCTTCACTCATATAAGAACTTGAGGGTTAGCATCATGATTTTTAAACTTTTCATCCACAACTGTTTCCAAACGGAGTACCTCCATGGGAATTACTGATCTCTTGAAAGCACATCTGTGAGATCAGATGTTGGATGAGAATACGTTTCTCAGTCTGTTGTAATTTATCCCACAGGTGTGTTGTTGGGTTGAGATAAGGACTCTGCATTTCTTCTAAACTAAACTCCCTGGAGTGTTTAGTATGGAGGAAACCTTAGGACTGCACTAACAGAACAGGCTGACGTTCACTGAGCTCCATTCGTAGAAGCAGTTTGGTTTGGATTTTCTACAGTGACTGATTCAGGTAAGCACTGACAGCATTTACAGACAGCAGGGTTTTGTGCCTGCTCAAAAAACTTCAAGCAAATTATTTGACGTTATCTTTCTGCTGACTTCATGTTATCCTATTATGGCTAGGTTTGCTTTGCTAAGCAAGCAGGATTTGAATATTTACTGCAGTTTTATTTTACTTGATGTTATGATGCAGGAAGCAAACTGAGATATTCTTCCTCCACCTTTCCTTTAACACAAAATGATTATTTCATTCAGGGTATCCAAACTTACCAGATCCTATGTACAAAGCAACAAACCATCACGCTGACAGTAAAACACGGTGGTGGCAGGGTGAAGCTGGGTGGTGTTTTGTTTCATCAGGTGCTGGTTAACTTGTCATATTGACAGAATTGTGAATTTTGCTCTCCATCAGAAAATCCAATCTGAATCAAAGATAGAATGTGTTAATTTTTCTGACTTCTTATAGAAGTTAGCTGTGCTACAGTGCTAGTGCTAGTTTGTGAATAAAATAACAATAAGCAAAGATTTAGACACTGTTTTCTCATTAACTTTGTCCTTTCTGGGTCACTACTACCAGTCTCGATGGAGATTCTGTACATCTTGCAGTCATTCATACTTGATGTTGATGAGTTCTTCCTTTTCTAACTTCCATTTGCAGCTAGCTATGCTGTGTGGCAAAACTCTGCCTCCATAAAAACATTTGTCCCTTGCATATTTCTTTAGCTTTTGCTATCTTGTTACTGTTAATAATTTAAGATCAGTTTCGTTTTGGTTCAAATTCAGGTGCCAACCAAGACCAGATTATGGGCTAAAAGAAGTTAAAATCATCCTCTGATCTGAAGTAATTTATGAACAGACAAAGTCATGGTACTTATCTGTTGGGGGAAAATCCTTTATCACAGTGGTTGGTTGGACCTTTTTCTCCTTTGCTTTTGGAGAACAGTTTTTTGTATTTAGTAATGTTACTATTTGATGTTTTACTCTTTTTATTTCAAAACAAATCAATTTTGTTGATAAAATATTTTATATAATATAATAATTTACCTTTATTAAATATAATAATATAATTAAACTACCTCCAATCTTTAGGAATGTTACAGCTATGCTAGCATTTTGTTAGCATGTTGATAACGGTTTTTAACGGTGACCACGAGAGGGCGCGCTAAACCCGTCGTCTCCAAAACTCTTCACAATCAAGAAATTTAAAAACTACAATATCAACTCCAACCATCCCATTCCAGTTGGGTGGTTCATTTATTTAGTCACAATTGTTATATCAACTTGTCTACGGAAGCTGTCTGACCAGCTCCTTGTCCAGCTCGATTTCTGGGTCTGCTGGTTCCGCCATCTTCTTCTTCGGTTTAACGGCCGCGGACACAAGCTCCTTCTGGATCCTCTGCTGCCTCTGTCTCTCCAGCAGCGAAACGACCTCCTTCTTCTGGTCGGCCATGGCCTGGTACCGCCGCCGCTCCTCCTCTCTCTGCCGTTCACTCCACACGGTGAGCTGGACCGGATCGACAGCATCTTTGGTTTTGCGGCGCTTCGGACGCGCCACCGGAAGCCGATGGCGGATGTCTGCCGACGCCAACCGGGATTCCCGCGGCGGGAGAAGGACTATGGACTTCCAGAGCTGCCGGGCGTGGGACCCGTCCTCCGCGGAAGAACCTTCAAATACGATGAAAAGGTCCTCAGCTTGTCCATCTTCCGCACTTTGTTGTGGCATTTTACTTCACCAAGATTTGTTTCAAAACACCTCCACAGCTTCTCACTTGTTTACTGAGTCACCATGGAAACGAGCCCAGACACACGGAGAGTAGTGGTTGTCAAAATAAAAGTCGAAGAAGAATAAAGCAGAAATTTAGAAATGTTATATGGAAGCCTACTAGGATCATCTGAAAAAAAGTCTGAGAAGTTTAAAATAATTAAACTTTAAAAATTCTCATAATTATGAGAGTTTGAAAGTCATATCACGTTAATATTCAGAATTATGATTTTGTATCAAAATATCTTAGTTTGTACCTTAAAGCTTTGAATGTTCAGTTTGGACAGTGAGTCTGATATTTATGACTTCCTGTCTACAAAGGCCATGAAGAATAGTACAATAAATTTGATATAATTGAATCATTTGTATTAATATTACAAACCTATTTATATTATTGGAGAGGATTAGGACACATATCTATGATTTCATTATGTTTAAACCAGCTTTATAAGCGCACAATATGGTCCAAGTTAGTCACAGTTTTTTTATTTATTTCAGTTTACTAAAATTTTCTCTCAGTTACTTTGTTATTTTATTAGTTTTAGTTAACGATAATCACCTGCCTTCTGTCAGTATTTGGTGCAGAAAGTGACATTCAGCATTTTAGAGAGAATTATAAAAGCTGCAGAGGAAAAAGAATCAAGACTGGAAACTGTTTTACTCTCAGAAGTTTGGGAATAAAACTCTAAAAGTGTTTATTTGCCTTAAGATAGTATTTATGTTGCTCCACAGGTGCTACTGTTGGCGATAATTCATCGTTGGTCCAGAGAGAACAGCAGGAAAACCCAAATGTGGGCAGATAGAAGCAGATTTAGCTTGATGGTGATCCACCAGCTGTGGGCAAAAGAAGGTGGAGGCGCGGCGCTCCACCCAGGTGTTGCTGAGAGGAGGAGGAAGAGCGACATCATCTGCATCACTTCTTTCACCTGACATGATCTTCTCATTTCCCTGGAGTTCAGGCTGCAGCATCCTGCACTGAGGACTGAAGCACAGAGGCGTAAGTAAGAACAGCATGAAACTAACTCTCTGCTTCTATTCTCATTCACTTATTTTAATAGTAAAGTTATGATTGTGCAAGTCAAAGAAATGCAGTAACGGCAGCGGAAAGTTTATCTTCTGTTAGATTTGTAAATTTAATTTTGTTTAAAATGAATTTAAAAGCAGTTAGTTTTTCCTGTTTAGAGTCTTCCTGGGAGAAAAATCCACATTAAAGATGCTGCATTTATTCTTGCTCGCTATGCAGCTGTTGCCACACATGAGTACATCCTAACATGTCACCATTTTGGTGTAAACGCCAAGCTTGGCTGGACTCAGGAGCTGCTGCACCTTATAAGGTGAAATGCCAGATAAGTTTCTTCTCTGCATCCCAGTTGGGGCTACTAGGCTACCAGGAGCAGCAGGTTAGCCAAACATGGGCATTCCAGCATGGCAGCTCTGCTGTTTGACTATCTGTGTGCTGCTTTTCATGTTTTATTACCTGTTGTTCAATGGGAGGTCAGAGAAGCACTGTGACCTGCAGCTCAGGATAAGTGAGTAAGTAGCTCGATGCAAAGCAGGGAAAAGTTCCCAGGTTGTTATCAGCAGCAGCAATAAGTGGGGCAGCTCTCTGAAACCAGGTGGATCTGTTGGCATGCAGCAGGTTGGAGTCAGAAATGATGAGCTAATATTTTATTGAAGAGTTTTTATGTGTTTAATCAGGTTTTATAAAAGCTTGTAGCTACAAGAAAAGCTTCAGAACTTTTGATGTTTGGATCTTTTTAAAAAAATGTTTGTATCCCTGTAAGAAAAATATCTAACTTCCTGTTTGAATTACTTCATTTGAGTGTTTAGTGTCACTGTGATAACTTTTCTGTTATTTTCTTTGTTGAGCACTGGGCCTGTTGCAATAAGTCAATTAATCGCATAATAAATGAGCTCAATAATTTAAATTTTTATAATTTATTGTTTTTCTATTTCTACCAAAAACTGGATGATAAAAATCTCCAGTCTGTTTTTGAAGGACAATTTTGTTTTCAGACTTTATAATTCATTTTATTTGTTGTTTCTGTTGGGTTTTTTTTTTTTTTTTTGGATATTTAAAATGTCTTCCAGTTCCAGTGTTAAATGTTTATTAGAATTTTAAGCTTATTAGTTTCTGCATTATTATGGAATCACCATGACATTACATGGAAATTGTCTCAAAACAATATTATTGTTTATTGCAATAAAATCTGTCATTGGGACTGGCCTGTAAAGATTTATTATGGTATAAGAATCTATAAAACTGGTTGATAAAAATATTAATTTTACTCATAAGAACATTCTTGAATTTTCTGTTCTCAGATTAATCCCTACAGTATTTCCTTATTCAGTAAATTAGAATATTATTGAAAAGTTAATTCACTTTAGCAGCTTGCTTAACACATTATATGGATTAATTCAGATTTTTCAAGCTTTACACTGCAAAAACACAAAATTTTGCCAAGTAATTTTTGTCTATTTTAATACACTTGAAATAATACACAGGCTAAAAATTACAAATAATTTTTAGCAAGATATTTGTAGAAGCTTGTTTTAAGTTAATAATTTATTAATATTTATGAAAAAGTGCTAGTTACATTGGCAGATTATTTCACTTATCACAAAACATTTTTTAAAGTTATGAGTGAAATAATCTGCCAGAGGGAATAGTAGTTTTTAATAAAAATTAAAAAAATTATTTACTTAAAACAATCTCTTGTATTTTGTCTCTTTTAAGTTGATTTTGTCTCATTTCAAGTTTACTAAAATATTTGCACAAGAAACTATAAAAAATACTGGGTATGATATTGTGTTTTTGCAATGTATAATGATTTTCTGTTTACAGCTGATGAAAACACATCATTTTAGAGTGTAGTATTATATCTGATTCATACAAAATATGTATTTTAATACAGATTTAATACATATTTGTTGAAACTGTCACTGTACCATGACAATTTGGTATGAAGCTGAAAAATGTAGTTCCTCTGCCTTCTCCCAGTGCTAACTAAAAACAACCAATCAGAGCCAGGAGGCAGGTCTTAGCGCTGTCAATCACTCCCCCCCTTTCTCTGTTACGCTGCAGTTGTGAAAGCTAAAGTTAATTAGCATGCTACAGATTTAGCAGCGAGTACATGAGATTGATTGACAGCACTAAGACCCTCCTCTTGGCTCTGATTGGTTGTCTTTAGTCTGGAGCGATGCATTTCTCCTGACGGCAGTAGCAGCTCAGGGAGGACGTGAAGTTAATCAATCTTTTCACAGATTATTTGTCTCATAACATTCTGTCATGACATGGTGACAGTTTTAACAAATGTGTAAAAAAAAACAACAAAGACCATATTTTTTATAAAATACGCAAACTGAAGTTTTAATCAAAAATAGAGCTGGGTTCCCAAACTTGGATAAAAACCCAGCTGTCCCATAAACCATCAAGAGAAGGGCCTAAATCAAACTATTATTTCCTGTCTTTAAGTTCTCAAATTTACTAAATGTGTTGATGTTTTACTCCTGTGACATCAGCAGGTCAAAGGTCAAGCAGTTAGAGGAAACATCAACCCCAACCACTACTCTAGAAACCGACACCAACCCCAACATCAGCTCCTCCATCTCTGAATCTCCAGTGAAGGCCGCCACCCCCACTGACCCTGCCAACATGGCCGACCTCTCTACGGACGACAGCAAGTTCCTTTTCTTGGAAAACGACTTTCGTAACAGCGGCGTGGCCCAGGCCGACTGGGCGGCCAAGAAGATGGTGTGGATCCCATCAGAGAGGGAGGGATTCGAACCCGCAAGCATCAAGGAGGAGAAGGGAGAACAGGTGCAGATTATTTACCTCCTTGGCATTCCTCAGGGATCACTCCCTGTCTTTTTAGTTTGTCTACATGCTTATTCTTGACCAGATTCTGAAGAACCGTGATGATTATGCGGAAAACATAAACGAGTAAGGCTGCCTTGCTATTCTAATGGTCTGACCAGAACTGATCAATTATAAACTTAAAGGTTTTGGGAGATATTCTGCATGGAAAAACCTCTTTTGGTTTATAATTAAGGTGGTTTCATGAAATAAAACCAACCATGTTTTTAGATCAATATTTGCCGAACATTCAGTTGGTTAAATAATAAAATCAGTCCTCCTTTTCTAAGCCCATCTGAATTATTGATAGATTATCTTCTGTTCTTGATTCTTTCTCAATTGTATAAAACGTATAACGTATAAAACAGATTTATTTACCAGATAAATCTGGTAAATTTATTTATCTGGTAAATAAATTTTATCAGCACTGCAAAACCTAATGTTTCAGTTGAAATGTTTTAGTTCACTTTAAATAAGACAAAACTAGTTTGCAAGTAGCTTTTCATCAAAATATATGAGATTATTTAATAAAAAGAATCCCTTAATATTGATTAGAAAGAACTAGTTCCATTGGCAGATTATTTCACTTATATCAGAAACATTTTTTCCATGTTAAAAGTAAAACAACATGCCAGTACTGGTACTTTTTCATCAATATAAAGCAAGTCTTTACTTAAACTGAGCATAAATATCTTGCTGAAAAGTTACTAATATGTTAGCTTTGTCTTATTATTAGAGTACTAGGATACCTGCACTGAACTAGAACAACAATACTTTGTAATATATTTTCGATGTGATTTTATATCTTTTTATCTAAAAGAACCAAAATTTAATCAAAATATCTGATAAGCAGCTCGTTTTTCACCTGGACATTAAAATGTAATAATCAATTCATGAAAGTTCAGACATAATTTTACATTGAGTCTGGAAGTTCCCACAAAGCTCTTCACATTTCAGTAATACACAAACAATGTTGTTTCTGAGTTTGTCTCTGGAGCAGAGCCAGCAGCAGAGCCAGCAGAGCGGCTCTGAGTTTGGACTCTCCCTCCCGTCCTGCAGGTTCTGGTGGAGCTCTCCAACGGACAGAAGATGACGGTGAACAAAGATGACATCCAGAAGATGAACCCGCCCAAGTTCAGCAAGGTGGAGGACATGGCTGCGCTCACGTTCCTCAACGAAGCG